TTTAAAATTTTAGGTAATTGTTTCTCAAAATTTAAATTTATATATTCTCATGTGTGTCATTTTTGGGGTAAAAACTGATTCTGTGAAAATAAAAAGCCATTGAGAAAGTATTTTCTCTATTAACTCATATAGCATTGCTTTAAAAATGTATTTATTAGAACTTGTACTAAGGCTGGGGATTTAGCTCAGTGGTTCCGGCGCCTACTTCACAAGCACAAGGACCCGAGTTTGATCCCTGGTACAAAAAAAGGAACTTATGTTAAATCTTACATTTTCTTGGGAATTTTCTTAGTGTTTTTCAATCATATAAAAACAGTTGATTTTTGAGACTTCATTGTTGCCTTTCTTTGAGGAAATTTTTATTATGCTTCATTGTGAGTCAAAGCAGTCTGTTAGACGTTCACATGACATCATTTTTCCTCCTTAAATCTAATATCAATAAAAGCTGAAAGTTTAAACATTGTGTGGAAAAAGTGTAATGAGCAAGTAGTCTTGGCTATCCTTGCATCTTTGAGCTTTCTCTCCAGATTCCATGGATATTGACATAACTGGACTTCAAGTTCCAACATGTATTTCCTGAGACTGTAAATGTGATATTTAGAGAATAGGGGACATATTTTCCATAATCATGCTTTGAAATGGGTAAATAGCTAGTATTTTGGTTTTGAGGCAGATTTACTAAATATATAACACACTTAGCTTCATCTTTCTTACACAAATATACACCAATGTATGTTATATCTCCATTCACATTTTTAAAAAAATTCCTAAAAATATATACTGAAGAGCTATTTTTTGGCAGTTTGGCATTGAGGATTTAAGGTGCTATAGCACAGAAGGGTGAATATCAATAATAAAAATGCACTGAATACTTCAAAAAGCTAGAATACTGGATGTTTTTTAAAGGGCCAAAAGTCTTTATTTAAATAGGACCTGTGCTGCAGCACAGGGGTCAGAACAACAGAGGGAGGGATCTCTTGTAAGATAAAAGCCTGAGAAGTGACTGGACAGTGCTGCTTATATAGCTGTTGTAGACTTTTGAAAGTTTTCATCATCAAGAAATGATGAATGATTGAGAACATGGATGTGCTTAATCTGATTAAGCTATTACACAAGCTAGACAGGTATTCAAATAGTATACCACTACTATGTACATTTTTATGGCTCTATTAATATTAATTTATTAAAAAGAAAGATGAATAACACACGCTAACTTTTGTAATTAGTACTTCAAAAATCAGACTAAATGATCAGGTCAGATTGAAAATGTAATTACAAGATCCCAGGTGCTGGCTGATTGTTGGCAGAAGCATCTAGGACCCATAAGCAGATGAGACACCCAGGTGAACTGGGAAGAGGGCTTTATGGGAAGTCTTTCTGTAGGGAGTGCCTGAGGACAGACTTCTTTACTACCACATTGCGTTGCCAGTTTATCAGGTATTTTAGTGTTGTCGGGTGTTAAAGTGAATATATTTATTTTCTGAGAAGTTTTTAGTTTGCAGGTATTTTCCCCTAAGTGGACTTACAGGATTTGCTTTAGGTAAAGAATAATCTTTACCTTGTGTTATCTCTTTTGATAAGAAAACATCTCCACAGAAAAATGTATGATGTCAGTGTTTTATAAATCCATATATATATTTTTTTTGTATGCAGTTTTTCAGAAATCACAAACTTGAAACCTCTTTGTTACTGATCCTTGGACCCCAGTGTAGGGAATTACAATTTTAGGTTGTTTATTTTTATTATACATTATTTTATAAAGTACATTACTCTACATACCGCAATAGAAGCTTACTGTCTTTCTAGATCTCTGAGTTTTTGGAAATTTTTGTAATTCATTGAAGGGAAATGACTTTTAGGAGAAAAACAAAACCTGTGGTTTTTTAATGTAGCTTGAAAATTGTTCTTCCTGACATTTAATTTTGGCTTATTGGTTAGCTACACCCTCCACTTTTTTGACCATAGGAATCCAAGCTGAATTCCAAATAGATAATGAATATTCTAATTGCAGTTATGCATTTCCTTAAGATTGTCCTTCTCTTAACCAGGTTCCCATATTCTTTTTAGTTCTGAACTCAAAAATTTGAAATCACCTTGTGAGTGAGCCAACCAATAATTCATACCTTTTAGTTATTTTCGTCTAATCTCTGTGGGGTTTAAAAGCAAACTAAATAAAAAAAAAAACCACTGGCTAAAATGGAAAACAAAAAATTCCGAAATGGAATTGTGAATTTCATATACCTTTTTGCAAGTAAACATAAAATATATATTAGATAAAATGTAAATTGTAAAAACATATTGTCATGTACCAGCTTGCTATACCAATATAGAAGTAAAGTATTTTACTACACAGAATAGGATGCTCAGATTTGAGAAGATGCAATAAGGAAACCTCCAAATGTGAGAATATGAAGAAAGAAATCATGCATTTTAAACAATTGTATATAGTAGGTTGAAATTCTAGAATGTCTCTTCTGTTGATTATATCAAGATTTAAAGATGCATGGGACCTACAATTCATTGAATCTGTAAGTAAATACTTTGGCATCAATACTCCCTATTGCTTACTTTTTTAAAAAAGCACTTGGTTTTCTTCTGAACCAATTTATGATATATTCAGAGTTGCCAAGCTATTCCGAAGCTATTAGGTTAGAAAAAAGGAAGATAAATAAAATGGGCTAATATCTTCAAATCTGGCCGCCTGCCTTTGTGAGTCTCCAGAAGTAATGTTTTTGCCTCTGTGAAGTGACTTACCCTTGGACTGCTGATCTGTGTTTGATATAATCCATCAGGGCATGAATCCTGCTGCCTCTGCATAGTCATTCCAAGAACATAAAAATCTAAAACACATTTGAGTTTTATTTTATGGGTACTCAATTTATTATGGAAAATGTAGTGCTGACAAACACATTTTGATTGGTTGGGTGTCTCAGTTTTCCAGACCATCAGCTGACTCACAAGAGTGAAGGCTTATTCTTGCACAAAAAAGAAAAAAAAATGAATGCTAATAAAAATGATGGCAATGATAATTATTTGTAGCAACTGGGAGTTTGTTAAAAATGTAAGGAATTGAAGTTCCTCTTCAGATGGATAAATCTGAATTTTCGCTTTCAGCAAATTCTTGGTGATTCTTTGCAAAGTAGAGTTAGTTAGGCACAGATTTAGTGTTTGTTTAGTGTTTGTTTAGTGTTTGTTTGTCCCAGCCCTTTAGCATTAAGAAGGAAGAGACAGGCTAAGATTCTCTGCAGGTCAGTGCCGCGCCCACAGTTATTTGTGTACCAATACACATGATAGCAGGAAATAACTCACAGGCTTGGATTTACCTTAAAGTCTTCAAAGAAGTAGAAGTTATTTTAATGAAAAAAGCAAGCCTTGTATTATATTGGCAAAACTTTTAATTCTGATGGATCATCTCTCTCCTTGGCTTTCGGAACACTGGAGCATTAGTGTTTTTTTTTATTTTTCCTGCATGCATATGAAGTTAAATTCAACTTTAGAGTCTGGATTTCAGTTTTAGATATCAACACCAACCTTTAGCTAGAGTCATAAACTCTTTTATAGACTGTTCATGGTGTTGTTCCTATGACATAAAAGATAGTAAATTTATTATCACCTATTGTACCCTGCCATCCCACTGCAAGAGGAAACACTGTTGGTGATCCCAAAAAAGATAGTGATCGAGGAAAGAATTCAAATTTTAACAAAGACTTCCTATGTTAAACAGAATTAAATTTTTCTGAGAACTAAATTTTATTTTCTTGTTGCTAGATCAAATTAGAAATCAAAATCCTTCATGTGTCAGACTTGTGCAAGGAAACAAAACTAGTTAATTAAAACATTTCATATCTTTGATAACTGGTTTAAATCTCATGTTTGCTAATGTTATTAACTTTTAAAAATCATGCTAAAATTCATAAGTGCGGTATCCAGTAAAAGACAGTGATTTGAAAAACATACATTGTATTGCTTCCTAAATTTTGAATGTGGTTATTCCTTTTCTCTTTTGGTTTTACAGAAGACATTTTAAAGTTCTATCCTGATATTTCTAGCCAATTGTTACATTTTACTGTGTCACAATCAATTTATTTTCTCCATTTTGCTGTTTCCTGAGTCACTGTGTTATGACATCTGACAGTAATGATGACTCAGTGAGCTTAGATTAGGCTCAAACAAGATCATTTCTTTGTTATGTGAATATTATTTCTCATCTTAAGAGAGAAGTTCACATCTTCCCTATAAGTGAACTTTTCATTAATACACAATGGGCCACAAACCTTTGCTTTATTCTGCAGCATAAAGCATTGGAAGAAGTCAGAACATTTTCTAAGTTATAAAGATAATAATTTTGAGGTTTCTGAAAATATGAAACAGACCTTATTCATCATAAAATCTCAAAGGCCTGTAACTAGTTGTTGCCCAAATGAAATTGACTTCAGTATTACTTTGGTAGCTATATATCCAATTTGTAGGGACTCAAAGTAATGTTTGCTTCAGAGAAGTGCATTGTAAATGTATTGAATTAACTAATGAGTTACTTTAATGGCATAATCTTTCATCTTGAGTGTAGCTTGGTTTACAAAATTATCACAGCCTGTGGTTTACTTGTTACTCCTTTCCCAGAGCAATAATGACCTGAGACTAGTCACAGGCATCTGCAGAAAGTATAGACATTCTTCGCAAGTTTTCACATATTTTCAGATAAGTTCATTATTGCCAATTTCTCTCTTTCTTGAACACCCCCAACCCAGTCAATCATTGAGCATCTCATTCAAGGAAATTATTTTTTGTTCTTCCCACAAATATCAATGCTATGAAAGTAAAAACAGAGCAGAACCAAAAACAACAGGGGTCATGCCTGTCTCACGGGTGGCTTATATTTATACTGTAACAAGTCAGATGTATCCAGTTCATATTACTTCAGTAGTGTTTTTCTAATTAGCTTTGTGTGCATTTATTTTGTTTTGCATATTTTACATTTTAATTCACCTTTTCTCTTTTAGCTGTATTTTGGGGTGATATTGCCTTAGATGATGAAGACTTAAATATCTTTCAAATAGATAGGACAATTGACCTGACCCAGAACCCCTTTGGACAACTTGGACATACCACAGGTATGACTCCTTATTTGGATAAATCTGTGTTCATTTTGGAGGAAACGTACTCTTGAAATTATAAGAATACTCTTTGCATCATTTTTAATGTCCCACTGGTAAAGTTTGATTTCTTGAACAGAAATGTGAATGTTTAGAAATTTAGATTTATTCATAGTTTATATTTTATTATTTTATTTAACAAACACATTTTAGCATTTACTATATTCCTGGGCTGGCTTTGCTTTGTAGATATGAACTTTGAATCATCACAGTGACTTTATGAGGTCAGCACTAATATGACTGTCATTTACAAGTGAGATCAAAGTTTAAAGGTTGTACTGCTTTCTTATTATCACATAGCTGGGAAGTGGCCAAATCAGAAGCATAAGTCAATTCTAAGAAAGACTCCATTTCAGACTTTTCAGTGTTATATTATGTTGCTTCCCACTTGGTAATTCAGTTGCAAAGTATAAATTATTCTTAGAGTAACTATATAAAAATTTGTTTAGAAACGTATATATTTTATGAAAGGCCAGAGGGACATGTTTGAATTATTCTTCTTTGAGAAGTGAAATAGTTATTTAAAAATTGCTCTAAAATTAAAAACTTTCTTATATTTTATATTTTTATTCCATGTTATATTCTGGAGAAAAAAGCAAGATGAAAAGGGTAAAATTTCATTTTCTAGTTATAGCTAAATGTTATTTCATATAATTTTTTGTATTTCATTACCTTCTTCCCTTTACTATTTTTATTTTCTTTTCTGTTCCATAGAAAATAAAATATTTAATTCCTTTATCTAGCTGACAATTGCTTAACAGACTTAAGACTTTTGATAATGAATTAAATGTTTGTCCAATTATCTTGCCTTGCAATTTTTTTTTTTCCTTTTGTGGCACTGCGGTTCGAACTGAGGAGAGGACCTAGGGCTTGCTAGGCAGGCTCAGTGCAACACTGCCCTAATTCCCCAGCCCTTGCAATGTTTTTATCCCAGCAAATTTTCATCATATGGAAAAGTTGATAGGCTAGCAGAAGAGACACCAGTTTGGTACACTCCTTAGATTCAGCACTTTTTAACAGTTTAACAATTTGTTCTGCGTGTGTATACATACATCTGTGCACATTTTGAAATTGATCGCAGAAAACATGTACAAATAAATAATATGAAAACACTTTATTATTAAGTAGTGGAGCATGTACTTTCTGGGAATAAGGACAACATCCTACGTAGTCAAAATATTATCAGAGCTAAGACAATTGTTAAAAAAAAGAATATGTAAGATAAAATTTAAGCTTAATTTAAAATATAAAAATGCTATGTACACCATACCCTTTGGCTTTTGCTTCATATATAATGATAATTATTTTTTGAAAAATATTCTAAGATGGGGGAAATCTTTGAAATAGAATCATAGTGTTCTATGATTCTGTAGAACATGTTTATCGGCAGATTCTCCAATTGCTGTCTCTCTCTTAACACTGCCATGAAATAAATTTATTCTGGACTAGTGATACCACTCTGCAAAATCCTAGAATCACTGTAAGGTGCATTATCTATCAAAATTTTCCTTTACTTTAAGCTTTATTTGGGTAATTTCTTTAACTTCTCCACCCTATTATTTTAAAACCCCGAATTGTGTATGATTTAAATTTTTTCATATACATATATATTGTTTTGCAGCACTGGGGTTTGAACTCAGGGTCACTGCACTAAGCCATGTCTCCAAATTTGGTTTACTTTTTTATTTTGAGATAGGGTTTCACTAAACTGCTAAATAGCCCAGTCTGGGCTTGAACTCATGATACTTCAGCTGCAACGTACGCTAGTGCTAGGTTTAGAGGTGTGTGTCACCTTGCTCAGCTGTTATTGTTGTATGATTTAAAATTAAGCTCTGAGATAGTATATCTGGGAAAAATAACATTATTCTAAATGTATAGAATAAAACATTATATACACTCTTAATCGGAACATTTATTCTAAATGTATATGTAAAAGGCATTTATCTTAAACAGCAGTAGTAACTTGCACTATTCAGGTCAACTTCAAACAATATAAAGATATCCTGTGTTTTATTTTTTCCTTATTCTTTTTTCTTTCTTTTAAATTTACTTGTATTGCATTAAGTACTATTTATCTTTTAATTTAAAGTGTGTAGTTTTTCCATAAATATTTAAATTGTACATATTCAGTGTTTTAGAACAAGTCAGAAGTAACCATTATTCCTTTTTTGCTGTTTCAATAAACTACCTTTGCAGAATTTTATTTCAATTAACATAAAAATTATTCAAAATTTACTAAAAATATACAAAACATTATTGTCTTTGGTAGATTTGAAACATTGTTTATTCAGTTCTACAATTACACTTACCCTATAATTACCTTAATGTTGACAAAGACATTTACTTTTTCTCACAAGCAGCCCCTTTTTAAATCTATTCATATGTATTTCAGGCCTATGTAATACAAATACAGAGGCTATATGATGGTCATTTCAAACCGTAGATGCTGTTCTTTAAAAACATTTTCATAACTGCTCAGGAATGGACACATTTAACTATGACTTCATCTTTCTAAAATGTTCAGTGACAAAAATTTCAAAAATTTTTCTCAAGATGTACAGCAAAAATTGTGACCATGTAATGCAAATAATTAGACGGATTACGAGTCAGTGAGCAAGTGCTGTAACTTACTTGCCTTATAAGGACTTACTTGATTTCCCCTTTAAGAGGCTTATAAGGCATTAGATTTTCTTGTTTTATTTTTAGCTGTCCAGGTATTAGGTTTAGTTCAAAGTTTGAGAATAGCTAGTCTTCCTGCACTGACTTTCGTTGTCTTAAGTTTCTGAAGAAACTGAAACAGCCACTGGTGATGGTGCACCTGCCTCTGTCTCCATTTGTCCTCGTGTCCCTCGTAGCTGTATTGGCTGTTTATTAAATAATGGCCTTTGCTCATTTGTGCATGAAAAATTCTAGGATGGTAGGACAAATAGAAGACAAAATTGGGGACAGCATTTTGTGAAAATGGTGGAATGAGAATGAAGGATCTTGGATTTTTGCCAAGTGTTCTGCTTTTTGATTTATGCCAGGAACCCGCCTTTTCTAATCTTTATTGGTTAGATCAAGAAAAGACATATTTTCTCATCGCTCTCCTTTCCTCTTCTGTTTGCATTTTGTATTTCCTTTCCTTTCCTATTGTATGTTCCAATAAAATGCATTTTGCAGTTGAACAATCATTAGGTTCTTACCTTATGAATTTGTTTATATCATGTTATTAATTTTAGTAATTAGAGAGCTCTTTTTATAGAATTTGATGTGATTTTAAAATTCTTCAAAATTTATCAAAGCTTTGGAGCTCAACTTGTGCTATTCGCAGATCTACTTTTCTAATGTTTACATTTCCATTTGCTGATTTGGCTTCTGAAAATTTAGTTTTCATAGGGAAAATAGCGAGAATGCAATCAACAGGGCAAAATAACTTGCTGTAATTTTATATAACAATATGTGATGTCAAGGTCACAGTGAAGAAAAATGTTTCAAATTGTCAACAGTGACTCAACTGTCACGATGTCCAAATGAAGTCATTTGATTTGCTCCTTAAATAATACAGCTCCCCATAATTCAGCCTTATTTTTCCTTCCCCATGTTTGTTGCTGTAGAATTTTCACCCTCTAAAAAAGATTCATGGACATTCCTAATTCTATGACCACCTAAAAACGATGTCCAAAGAGAAATCACTGTAGCATATTACTATTGTTTATTTGCTAGAACTTTTAGGAACATTTGAGTTTAACTTACTTATTTTTTTCCTATTCTTCAAGGTGGACTTGGAGACCATGGTCTAGCAAAGAGACGAGGGGCCCTCTATCAACTTATAGACAGGATAAGAAGACTCGGCTCTGGTATATCAATGTTTAAAGTTGTAGCTGCTTGACTTGATGTACAGTAAATATTGTACTCATAGCAGTGTAGTGTTTTAAAAAATACATGTACCAGTATCATATGATGTAGAGGCTTTATGCTGAGAAAGACATTTACTCATTTTTATTTGATTAGCCTATATCTGATGTAAGATTTTTAGAACTTAATCTGGGACAATTTGAACTACTCCTTTAACTTATTTTAGTCTCCTCCTCCTTAAAAATGTATTATATATTTACTTCATTGTTGATACCCCTTTCCAGTTAAATGGATATCTCATGAAGTTATTTTTATAAAGCAATTTTAGTCATAACTATTTATCATAACTATTTCTTTTGAAATAATATAAGGTCCACTTATAGTAAATTGACAGACTGATTTTTTTAGATAAAAATAATCAATATTTTTACCATTAAAGCATTCAGAACACTGACTTTGGTTTTATAATTAGTTAATGTTCATAGTATTGAATTTATTAACCACCATGTGGATATTTAAATTTTTTTTAAAATCCTCTATCCATTGTTCATATCCTGATTCTTTAAATTTATGGATTATAATTAAATTCTTTAAAGTTCAGGCTTTTAAAGAATAGTTTACCTTAATAAAAAAAACTGCTCTAGGACATTGACAAGATAGACTTGTTGAGACACAGGCATAGAGCCTACACATTCAATAGTGGTTATGTTAAAGCATTTATTACCTAGAGAATGTTTGTAGCCACAGTGAAAGATGAATAAGAAGGAATAATCATGTAAATTCATGAAAAAGAAAACAATAGCAATAAATATGGAAGGTCGCAAAAAGTAGTAAAGGACTCTGGATTTGGAAGCCCCTCCAGGGCAGACTGAATTTTATGCTAATCTGTTCCTGTGGTGTGCGATCTCTGAGGAACCCCCTGAGAGGTATCCAGAGGAAACTTCAGGGGACCAGGTGGCTGAGATTACATCTGTCTTTGTGTTATTTTTAAACCTACCTATATATAATATGCTGTTCCTAATAGTAGGTTCTACTACAGTATATCAATCCTGACTTAAAGGGTTACGATTTAGCTGAAATAAGGAGAGTGTGGAATACTGTAGAACTTTATTAAACACTATTTTATGGTCTGTGGGTGAAGTGGTGGTGAGTTGGTAAAATAGAAAATACAGAACAATTTTTTTCTATGGCTTATACCCTGTCTGACTTCCATCTCCTATAGGTTGTTATATGAAAATTCATCAAAATTCATTTACAGATCATTCTGAAATAGTATTTTGACATGAAATACTTCAATATTTTAATGCTTTCCTCAAGTATATAATGTAACTGAAAGGTTTTTCTTTAGTGCATTTTTTCTTAACTTTGGGCATATTTACACAAATATGTAAATAAAACATTTCAACTTTTGTCCTTTAAGAGGTAAATGACTCCCTGACCAAAGACTTCTGTTTCACAGAATGTTTTAAATGTCACTACAGGCTTGCAGCAAAACAGCACAGTTAAGGGAAAAGTACCTCAAAAATTCTCAGGGCAAAATGAGAAAAATCGAGTTCCCAGAGCTGCTACATCAAGAACGGAAAGAATATGGCCTGGAGGTGTTATTCCTTATGTTATAGGAGGCAATTTTACTGGTAAGATATTCCCAGAGTGTGTTTTCATAATGAAATGAAAGCTATCATACAGAAGAAGTTTGTATTTGTATAGAATATTAACAGAAAACATAATATTCAATCAAACTTCATAAAAATACTTCATAAACATAGGTTACTAGTTTAGAATTTCTTTGAGCTTGAGAAAATATTTTTAGTCTTGTGCTCTAAGAGTCTAAAGTACTCTTATGGTTTTTCAACTGACTTTCAAATGTGGCCATTAAATCTGGAAGCTCATTTCTTTCATATAACAGGAAGAATGTATACACCCTTTATGGAGCCTTGTACATACATATTTGGAGAGAGAGTGAGCTTTAACCTTCTGATTATAAAGTGAGCGTCACTTCTTAACAATGACTCATTGGTGGTGCTATAAACTCGTCTTGTTTGGCTGATGATGGCTGTGGCATTCTGACCTGTCCTGCCAGGCTCGGGTGGAGGAGCCAGCACTGTCCTGTTGAGCACTCATTAAAGTCATGTAATTTTTCCAGGCAGCCAGCGAGCCATGTTCAAGCAGGCCATGAGACACTGGGAAAAGCACACATGCGTGACCTTCATTGAAAGAAGTGATGAAGAGAGTTACATTGTGTTCACCTATAGACCTTGTGGGTGAGTAGAACCAGGGGATGTTTTCAGAAAGTTTACAAGGAAAAAACTCAAGAGCAGTAGGTAGGATTCATTTCTTAATATTTGCATAACACTTGAGTGATAAGAAAGTGTTACTTTTGTATAGGAAAATGGTATGTATTAGACACATCTGTCCCATGATCACAGAAATTGCAACTCTATCACAGATGTGCTCCTCCACTACCAAAGCTACTTTCTCTTGCAACAGTGATTGCTTACATCTCTCTCTGTTGAGTTAGAACGTCAGTATTTATACCTAGTGATTCTGTTTGGCTCGCTATAAAATCTACACAGTAAATTTCTGGTACTGGTATTCACTAGGTCGTTTTGTTTCCACCCCCATCCCACATCGGTGGTCTGATCCGCTCATGTCTTTAGCATCTCACAACTGAGCTATTCCATCCACCTGCACCCCTTGCCTCACTCATCAAGGTGCTGCCACTACAATTCTAAACATGCTCCTTACATCCACATCCCACACTTTCCGAGACTCTTCGGTGTTCTCCCCTGCAGTGGTGTTTTCCAAATTTCCATCTTATAGGATAACAGACATTTTCTGAAAAATTAAAAAAGGTTCGGAAAATTGTGAAAATGCTGTGCTATGTTTGAATAGGTATTTCTGTAGCAGTGTTCCAGTGACCATTATTAATATTCAGTTTAGTTGAATATGTTTCTTAATTACCTAACAAGGAAGGACACTCATCCCATCCTTTTAAAAGTGAGGAGGGTATATCAATATCCCAGGCCTATTTGGGAAAGTCAGGACTGGGAATTAAATCCAAGTTCTTTGGTGTGACATTTAAGGAATGCAATGAACTTACTGCAACATCCATTTCCAGCTGCTTTTGCTCCATATATCTCTCTGTAAATCCCATAATCCAACCATGATACAGTAATAACAGCTCTCCAAGCAATGTCGCATACTTGAAAAGACTTTTCATGATTGAAGTTATCCAACTCCTCTCCCTTGAATTTCCAATTAATTGGAATTTATAAATAAAGCTTTGATTAAATCTAGCTTTTTTTCCTTAAGAATATTTGACAGGCTTCCTACTGTGCTGTCTACTTTATAGGGCTTCACATAAGGAGGCGGGACCTGTCACTTTATGTGTATTAGCAGTGGACCACTGGATACAAGTGGTGGCAGTCATGTCCCTTTATTGTAAATATTGTCATCTTTACAAAATGGTCATTTTTTCTAGTGCTTTCTTTTTAAAAATAATTTATATTTATTAGCTGAAATTCTTCCAGAGTGATGAATTTTCTGCAATGTGTTATTGCTATTGGATACCTTATACTGCATGTAGAAAAGTCAAAATAAAAGTTTAATTTTTGGGAGAACAGTTCTTGCTCTAATGATATGTACTTATTCAGGAAACATAACATTTCACTAGTCCTAGAGTGAGGTCTATGTCATCATTTTTTTAGTACATTTTCCTAGAAGATAATTAAACCGAAAAAGTAAGGCATTTCAATGTTGGCTGTACCTGAGTGACATTCCAAAAGGTTATATATCAATGTCTTTCTAGATATTTTTGGATAATGCCATAAATTATTATTAAGCAATCTTTAATAATTAAGCAGTGTTTTCTTCTAAATTACTCTAATTTTGGCTGGATAAGTTTTGGTTACATTTGAAGTGTCTCCTGCTTCTTTGTATCTGTTTAATATTTAAAAGGTTCAAGTTTTGACTGTCCTTCCTTCTTTCTGATTCTCTAAATGGAATAGATATAGCTTAATTTAAATATTTCTAAATACATAATATATTTAGATCAATGCCTTTTCTTTCCCATTCTTATATTTTGTAAAGCAAATACATCTAAAACACTTATTCTTTATTATTCTGTATTCTCTTAACAGTTATATTACCTCAGCTTGTTCAAATGCCTTTCTTCGTTAATGATTAGGGCAGGAAAATACCTCCATATCCTTCATGATACTTACATGCTGCTCTACTTCATGTGATCATGAAAGAATAGTTTAAACATTATCTAAGTATATTCTGTATAATCCTCACAAACACCAAGAGAATGTAAGAATTTGTCTTTAATATTTAAATTATTTAATAATTTGAAGAAGTCTTTTAGAACAAATAGTTCAATAATTTAGCAATGTGAAGAATGAAAATACTGCTGGACCAAAATATGCTTTAATCTGTAGCTGCACTTCTGAAATCAAAATTCTGAGAATTAATACGGACATATTTTTGTGACTTTTAGAGTACCAACATTGAACTTTGGTGATTTGTCTTAGGAACTCTTTTCACAGCTTGAAATTTGTCCTGAACTTTTTTTTTTTCAGAAATAGGATATTTCTTTGTATGGAAATTGATCATTGGCCTACTATTCATTCCAATTATTTTGTAAATTCTAAATTTCACTTGGAAGTATCAATACTGGCCACAATTTATGAAACAATTTTTTTTATCACTTTGTTATAAAAATGATTCCGTTAAACTACTAAAAATTCAAGTATTAAAGGGTTTAGAAGTTGATGTTGCACAAAATACTTGGTTTCAACTAAAATCATGCAAGGTGTGATCAAAATATACAGTGGATAATTAATTTTTAAAAGTTATTACAATCACAGATTCATTGCCATTAATCATCCTCAAAATACTTCACCTTGCTTCAAACACAGTCCATCATTCTGGCCCCTTTCTGACCTTCTAGAAATCCTTTCCATGAATATCTTTAGTTACTCTGTTGTAGCTGCTTAAATGCCTAGAATCCTTTCAAAATATCCATCTTCTATGGCCATTTTCACTTCAGGAAAGAGTCACAAGTTCCATTGTAACATATCTGGTGAATGAATGTGGATAAGGTTTTCATTTGAAAACAATTTCCGTAAGTATGTTTGAATCAATTCAGTAAATCAAAGCTGCCATAAATTCCCTGAAAAGGACTTTCAAAACTGCTGCAGGAAGTGTCCACATAATGGGATAAGCATATTTCAAGCGAAGTATTTTGAGTGGAATTAATGGCAGTGTGTCTTTTTGCAGCAGTGTATTTTTTAATTGAAACGTTTGCTGTATTTTGTGATTATGCCTTATAGGTATTATGATAAGTGGTATTTACTTATTACAAAAGTTAATTGGTGTCAGCAAAATGTGAGATCTTTTTTATAACAGAGGTTATAATATTCTTTCTATGTGAGAGATTTATGTAACTGAATTCATTATCTTAGTCTGTCACATAAACTTATATTTAATATTCCGCATTTTCACTACCTGTCTTCATTCTCTTAGTTTCTTAAACAATAACTTTTCTTTGTGTCTACTAACCTTTAATGGCTATGAAAAACAAACTAACAAAACAGATTGTGCAAACCATTTAAGTGTTTTCTAGATTTTGTGATACTAATGGAATTTAACTTTGGTCTATTTGGTTATTCTGATTAAGATAACAGTCTTTATTTTATATTTGTTGAATTTCTGTTTTGTGTCACTTATGTTGTAAGTTTTGGGAATATCATCTTGTACAGAAGGAGGTTGTTGTTAGACAGAGGAGGCTTGCTAGCCCAGATTCTTATTTACTCACAACAAAGATGAACTAATTGAAGCAAGAATAATAATTAATTGAGAGATTATTAGATAATTTCTGCAGTGGTACCAGTGGAAAAACTGGAGAGCCAGGCTGAGGGATCATTCTCTGGAAGAGAATGTTTGCCCCTCACTGTGTACCCCACAGCCAGTAACTTAGAAGCTTTGCCTCCTACTGGCATCTGTGTCCATCTGCCCTCTGAGATCTGCTCTTCAAAGAAACATCTGTTGAGCTCTAGAGTCTGACAGGCCAGACTGAGTTCTAGGGACTGGAGATAGGGCAGTGATCAGAAAAGGTAAGTCCTGTACACACAAAAAGCTTCTGTTCTAGGATAAAAAGGTAGGAAAGAAAAACATAGTGGAGATACAAAATTTACTGTACACTCCTCAGGGAGAAATAAAGCAAAATTGGGGCGGGGTGTGCAGGTGGCATTTATGCAAAGACTAGAAAAAGATAGGAGGGAGAGCCATTAGAATGTCTGGGGTAACAGAGTTCCCCACAGAGGGGAAAGACAGGAAATAGATTCTGAGGTAAGAGCTCGTCCCCATGCTCAAGGCAGAATGGAGAGGAAAATATTGTTGAGCTCGGATGAGTCTCAGGGATCATTGTAAGATATGAGTTCTGTATGCTAAGACATTTGCGTGTGCCTGTTCTTATTTTTCATGAAGACTTTAAAGAGCCTGTTTCAGTCATCTTAGCAAATTCATGCTATGATAACTGTGGCCCCTCCGTCTCAGCAGCATAAAGCAGCAAACATTTATTCTTTACTACACTACAGGCGCAGCATTGCTTTGCTGTATCTCAGGGCTGCTACCCTCACCCTCACAGCCGGGCTAACTGAGAAGCCTCTCTTTGAATGTAGCTCTTCTTGTGGCAGATGGGATGAAGACAGTATGGCCACCATGTGCTGGCTCTTAAAAGATTCTCTCCAGAAATGATACAAGCAGTTTTGGCTTTTGTAACACTGTCCAGAGCAAGCCATATGTCAAAACACAGCATTAGTCAGGTAGGAAAGTATAATCATCTGCTAGAGAAGGGTAACGGATATTTTTGAGCATTGACACAATGAGCTACGGAGCCACTTGAGAACATCAGAATGTGACTTGACATTTTGTAAATATCATGGTGCTGTGGAAACCATGCTTTAGGAAGGCAAGAAGAGAAAAAAGACCAGTTAGGAGACATGGCTTAGACAAGATTGTCAACAACAGAGACCACAAAAAGTACATGGGTTCTGGGTATTGATTGGAGGCAGAGCCAACACTATTGATTGTTGTGGGAGAAAATAATGTAAAAATACCGGCATCACTCTGAACTGAAACCAGGAGGCTAAGTTTAACTGGAGGAAACTGGAGTTAACTTGGATAGGGAGGTCAGAAGGTGGAACAGGTTTTTTGTTGTTTGTTTGTTTGTTGAATATTGCATTAGAGTCATATTAAATTGTGATATTTATTTCTCTTCCAAGTGGAGAAGTTGTAAAAGATGAATTTTCAAGCTGGCTATTTAATAAATATTTCATGATCTATGCGAGACACTGCTTTAGATACTTCTGATCAATCAGTGAACCAAAGAGATGAAGATCTCTGTTCTGATGCATCTTATATTTCAATGTTGACACGGTTTTGTTGGCCTGTTGTTATAGAAACTAATTAAATAAACAAACAATTTAGTCACTTTCTGAGAAAAGTGTAGAAGTAAGCTAGTTAATTGGGGGGATTTTAAATACAACTGATGAAAAACTAGAAACAGTTCTAATTTTATGAGTCTTCATGGATTAACTTCAAGGAAAGTTTCAAATGTGTTTTGGTCTAACAACTGAAAGCTGAAATAGAGAATATCAAATTTGGATTTGTTCTTTATGATTTAAGGAGGGGCAAGATTTTCCAATATTTGGTGAAAGTTTCTCTTGAAAGGGAAGATAGATCTCATAATGGCCAAACTGTACATTAGCACACAGATTAGAAACAAAAATTGAAAAGCTCTATGGAAAAAAATAGCATTAAACCTGGATTACAGTGGAAGTTAAGACAATGCTTGCATGCAATTAGATGTGCTTTTCCAAATTGCATGTTTCCCTGTCATTCCATACCTAATATTTTAGAAATAATCTGTTATTCAGTTAATCTGAATATCTAGCATTTTTCCCCCTGGTCAAGAATCAAAGTGCCACATTTTTTTTTCTTTCACATGACCATTGTAAAATAATACATTTATGTATAAGGCAGAGTAAAATTTATTTTCATTTTCTATTGTGAAGCCTCATCTTATTATAGGAAATTGCTATGGATTCAATTATTTTAACATGAGTGGTTTAGGTATTAAATACATTCACCAGTTGCTTTACTATCTCCCAGCATTTGTTTTGCAAAGTAGTCTTCTGTGATTGTAATCAGAAAGAAAGAAACACTGTGGGAAATTTATTTGGTATATAATTATCTGATTATTTCACTTTGTTAAATATTTGTTTAAGGTAGCAAAAGTTCAGTTTAAATCTCTCCAAAATTTTCAAAACACATATTTTTCTCTAATACTTAGAGGGTAGGTAATAAGTAAGAATTTGAATATCTAATGAGTACATAGGTATGAATTATAACTATTATTAAAAAACTGGGCTGAGGATTTAGCACAGTGGTTCCACCACCTGCCTTGCAAGCACAACGTCCTGAGTTTGATCCCTGGTATCAAAAAAAAAAGGTTAAAAATTAAAAAAAAAAATACCTGTGGGCAGAGGAAACCACTTACTGACTTTTGTCCTCCCATCAGTTAAATCAATTGTATGATCCATTTATTAAGCTTTAATCATTCTAATAAATAAACGTGAATTTACAAATATTATAAATAATGAATATTAATTATATTAATATGTACAAATAATGAATACAAATTATTTCATCTAGGTGGCATAACATAGGCTGAAATACATTAGCATTTAAAGCCTACAGAAAAAGCTTGGGAATGAGGTGGGAGGTGTACACAAGGATTTATATTTGTGTAAAATCAAAAGGACTGTCAAATCTACTGGGAAAATTTAAATAGTGAAATTCTTTTTAATCACTTGAACAATTCATTTTTGCCATTTTCCTTTTAATTTAATAAATCGGAAAAGTGTACATCTAGCTACTAGTGTAGCAATATTTAAAACAAATGGCTCAGTGACTTTGATTGCTGTCTAGGAGGGTAGTCCCATGGATAAGCTATGACGTTGTGAACCTTTTTTTTTTTTTTTGTACCCGGGATCAAACTCAGGATCTTGTGTTTGCAAGGCAGGCAGCAGAACCACTGAGCTAAATCCCTGGCTATGTGAACCTTAATTATTAGTCTTAGATACAACTTATTTGTATTTATAACTGTTGCTCCTATCACATCATAACATGTAAAATTTATATTAATGGGTGTCTTGTGTGTTCACCCTTGTATTTGTAAGAATTTTCTGGACTGTCACACACAAATGAGCATATATGCACACAACTATTTTGGGTAGAAAAGTATCATTTAACATGTATACATATCAATAAACTGATGAAATTTGTGGGAAAATATTCGTGGATATTTCATATTCTATTGTAAAAATGTGAAATAAGAAAAATAACACTCAGATATTAACCTGAACAATTGCTACAAGTCACAAAAATCCAATAATTGTCTGCACTATTACTAGCTGTCGGTTTTTCTTCATTATTTATCCTAGTCCATTCTGGATGTTGTAACACAGTACCACTGTACGAACAAGAGAAGTATAAATCTCACAGTTCTGGAGACTGGCTGTACAGATTCAGGGTGTGATGGGGCCCCATTTCCTTGTTCCCAGATGAACTTGCTCTTGTGATCTTCCATGGTGGAAGGGTTCAAGGGAACTCTCTCAGGTTTCTTTCATAAGGGCATTGATTCCATGCACAGGGCTCTGCCCTCATGACCTAGTGAACTGCCAATGCCTCACTTCCAATTACTATCACGTCACAGATTAACTTTTAACACATGAACTTGGGGGAGACATCAGTGGTCGGTCTCTAGCTCTGGTTAACTATTTGCCTTAGGTAATTCACCTTTAAGACTAGGGAATACTGAAAGGAAATTTTAAATCTCTTTCAAAAATTTTCTCCTGTTACAAATCCTTCAGGGGTAGAAAAATAAATTTTATTTTGATTAATAAAGATATTTCATAAATAAATTTAATTCTATTTTTGCTAAAAAGATGAAAACTAAACTTTGCTTTAAATATAAATTAATATTGGATGTTACCAGATAACCACACTGATAATATAAGTTACCATGGATACAAAGGGCCCACTGTAGAGCACATTAAAGACTATTATCATAATTATTTTTAATTTATTTTCTAAATATTTCTAAAATGATTTCAGGCCTCCTAATGTATGGATCAATTACATTAGCATTTCAGTTAATTCTTTAAAAACATTTATTATGTATAAACTCGAAGGATTGTAGAAAAAACCTATATTTACAAACAGAAGGCTGTTCTGCCTCTGACTATTAGACTATCCAGTTCCTCACCATTATTTACACAAATTATCACAGTATTATAAGTTATCCAGGGCACACTTTCCACCACCATCTCCACTTTCTACTTCATTACAGATGCTGCTCCTATGTAGGTCGGAGGGGAAATGGACCCCAGGCCATCTCTATTGGAAAGAACTGTGACAAGTTTGGAATTGTTGTTCATGAACTGGGCCATGTGATAGGCTTTTGGCACGAGCATACACGACCAGATCGTGACAACCATGTGACTATCATAAGGGAAAACATCCAGCCAGGTGAGAGGCCTCTCCATGTGTTGAGTTTAAGGCAGACTAAATGTCTTTGAATTGTATATGTGCAAACTACCATTATTGCCTCAAAAATGTAAACTTACTTTGATTTGGCAGAATCAACATGTGTTTGACTAAAACTTGTCCTTGCTGGTTTTATACTTTAAATTGTTTCCTAGACGCTGAGTGATACCATGTAAAGTCTAGGCTTTCCTCTCTTGTTAAGATTTGCTTTATTTCTAAACTTGTACTTTCCAAGAATGGATGTGATCTGCGGCATCATGAACTAATGTCATTAAGTCATTTTAAAAATTTAAGCATTTTTCATGCTTATTGTAGTTCTAGAACTTATAGGGATTTTTAAAAGTTCTCAGGACTTGTCATGTCATGCACTACAAACATAGCAATCTGTGTCTTATCAGGTACAGTTTCTGGTGAAAATTCCAGTAAAGTGAGTCATTTTCAGGATAGTCTAGTTTTCTTTTGAGATTTTCCTCCTAAACTTTATTGCCCTAAAATTGGATCATGTTTTCAGTAGCTGAAATATAATTCATAATTAAAATCTAATTTTCTCTGACAGCTTGATGGGTGATAATTGCTTCACTGCAAAATGTATTCATTTTCACATTGATAAACATCAGTACATTTTAATTGCCAAAAAAAGGTTTGGAGTTTTCTTGTAAGGTAATATGAATTTAAGAATAAGGAAAGTACAAATGTATTCTTATTTTTTTTGAACTCTGCTAATTTTAAGTTCCAAATATTGAATTCTGTATAGCCACTAGTATTCACCTCATCATTATTCATAGATGAGGTATGAACAAATAGGATGGTAAATATAAATATTATTACAGTGGAAGACATACTGCTATTAATCCCCCTCTAAATACAATCCCTCACTTTAAACTCATTTATTCAATCATTCTTGCCACTTTTCAAAGTGGTTCTGGAAGTCTTATGAAGTTTTATGAGTGTCTTTTCATGGTGAGGTCAATATTCGGAATCAATTTCCAATATGTATGACCATTTCTGTGAAATAAAAACATTATGGTGTGTACTTATCCGCTTTTTTAACCAAATCTGATAATATGAAACTTCTGGCTTTTTCTCAAAGTCAAAATGTCGATGAGAGGTAAACCTTTTTAATTCAATCAACATATTTCAGTAGCTAGGATAAGGCAGTTAAAGATACTGGCAGTTAAAGATAAAGGAGTATTTATGGTAATGTGCCATTTGATATAGCCATTTTTATTTTTAAATAAAATATTAAACAAAATATAAAAATATGTTTTGCTCACACCTCATACTTAGTACCAGTTCTTTACTGAAGGTTTTGGAGGGTTAGATTTTGGAGATACTGTCACAAAATTCATGACATGACTTGATAATATCCTGAAAAATGCAAAGCTTTGTGTAGCTGCACATTTACATAGAAATACAAAATTTGTATGTTGAGAATACTGCAGAGAACCAAGCAAAAGTATGCTAAATGTGAGTTGGCAAGTGAAGGGAGATGTCACAACAAACCAAATTTAGAGGTGAACTGGAGATTTCAGGATAGAAAGAAGAGTCGTAAAATTTCTAGGCTATAAAAGCCCCTCACCTCACTACAACAACTTGGTAAATTGTAAGTAGAATTGCAACTGGTAATTACCAAGACAGATTAGATTATAGAGAATCTGTACATGACTTACCCTGATTCAGAGATATAAGATCAGATGTTACATAAGAGCAATGTCTAGTAAACACAAGCTTTGGATTCAAATTTGTATACAAAATAGGTGAATTTGTTAAGAAATTGGCACGAAGATTGGATTACTTCAAGCTCTGTTAGAATACGCCTTCAACACAGAAGCTTGTTATTCTTAAAATTTTTATTGTGAAGCATGTTTCACCCTGGTTGTCTATATCTCTGTTTGTCTTCCCTTCTTCCTTGAAGCAAGTCTAGTTTTCTTTTCTTTCTTTCTTTTTTTTTTTTGGACTATGTGTGTTCGTGTTCATTTTACCTAGTGTAAAGCTCTGTGTCATATGTGTAAATGATAGTTATAGGGCCTAAAATGCATTACTGCCTTTGCAGAAAGTGTGTTACTTTCAGAAAATTTTATGAAACAAATTTTTAAATTAGAGAGTGCTTTAATTAGAGAATTTGTTCACATAGTGTGCTTTATATTGAAGTCTTTTTTTTTCCCCTCATTGAGTTTATTGGTACTTTTTAGGTATACAGTACAGTTACATTCAACATTGGGATCTTATACCTTTACCTGACAGGTCTTGGTTCTCATTTTTTCCCCATAACCCTCCTTTTATTTCCATTTTTTCATTTTCTCATATTTTTTTTCTTTTCCCTTATTACCTTTCCCCTATCCTTCCCACTTTCCATACACCTTTAGCCCTTTTTTCCTATTTCACATTGAAGTCTTATCGGTCAGTAGCTGAAAATTTGGTCATAGCTTTTTTAAAAAAAATCTCCACTTAGAATGAGATGTGTGATTATATGCTGAAAATTCGTTATGAAGACAAGTTTTTTTTTCTCTTTACGTTTATTCCTTTCAGGTATGTAGTACAGTTACATTCATCATTGGCATCTTGTACCTTTACATGACGTATATTGGTTCTTATTTTTTCCCCATTCCCCTGCCTTCCCTCCCTTCACCCCCTCCACCTTTCCCTATTTACAAAGACTTTGTTTCCATTTTTTTTCTTTTCTCATATTTTTTCTTTTCTCTTCTTTCCTTTCCCCTACTCTTCACCCCACTTTCCCTACTCCTTTAGGCCTTTTCTTCCTATATCACATTATCAATTATCCAATTTGAATCTTATTTGCACTTTTAGCTTTTCACACTAAACTATTCAGTATTTACACATGTATGTTCTTACATTTTAATAATTGCTTCTATTAAAGAGAAATCACCATGCTTCTTGAGAATATTTGTGTTTCAGATATATTAGAGATTCATGGGACACATATTTCACTATACTGGCTGATGAATAAATTTAAAAGTATTTATTATGTGAATTTTTGTCTTGGTCTTGAGCTCTGTAACTCTGAGTTGATTTTTACATCCTTAATGTTCAAATGAGTATTTACTATGTTTCATTGTCACATGTAGAGAAGATATACTTTATGGCATTACTCAATGGCTTGGTAGCTTTTGGAAACTTTTTATTGATGTAATATTTTTATATTTAGTAGAAAAATGGAAGTTAGCATAAAAACCTAGTCATACGAACCATATGATTTGTATGTTTTGGTTGGAGCTCCAGATATGAATCTCATTAGCTTTCTCTTATATTCTGATATTTCAAAGCTTTTTAAATCACATCTATGATATAATGTGCACATCTTTGGTGGCTTAAATTATGAAAATGGCTCAATGAGACCTAACCTTTTATTAGGAGAAATTCTTTGGTTTTGGAGCAACAGAAGTAAACCTGTATATTTGTCTCAAATTTTTTTTATTTCAAGAAATAATGTTGCTATATGGTATAAACAGCAGTAGAGAAATCTTTTAAAAGTAAAGATTTTAAGAAATTAAAATAACAGATGTAAAAGAAATAAAATTAAGTACTAAAACATTTTTTTAATTTAAAAAATCTCTCAAAGTAGAACCTCCTTTTCAAGGGGAACTTTTCTTTTTTGAAGATAGTATATTTGTTCCTGTTTTATCTTTAGTGATTTTTCTTTAGTGTTTTATCTTTAGTGCAGCTAAAAGATAAAAGATAAAATATTTTATCTTAATGTTTTATCTTTAGTTAAAGCCTGTAAAGTTGGGTTTACAGTAAAAATTGTTTTTATATCTTTCCATAGTGTTTCTTAGGAAGCATCTAAAGCAAATAGATAATTTTTCTGGATGTAAGCAAATATAGTCAAAAGAGAAAGGTTCAGAATTCATTAAATAAAGCATAACATTTTGTCCAGTCACTAAATAAGCAGTGCATTTTAAAGAAACAAATATTATGAAATGATGAAAGAGTATGCTTTTGCAGAAATTAACTTTGTTGTCAAATAACAATTAGCTTTGTTATCCAATCCAATATTGCTCTTTCTATACAATACTAGAGTGAAATCATGATCTTTGCATCTGATTTCACCCTGGAGTTGGTGTGGAAATACAACCACCAAGATCGGTTTTTGATGATTCTCTTTTATTTCAGTTAAAAGCCTTCTGCAATTTACTTATCCCTGATTCTTAGGTCAAGAGTACAATTTTCTGAAGATGGAGCCTGGAGAGGTGAACTCCCTTGGAGAAAGATATGACTTTGACAGCATCATGCATTATGCCAGGAACACGTTCTCAAGGTTGGAGTCTCAGGTTATACCTTTTGACTTTTAATTCCTTTTCTCCATCTGACTCCTCACAAAGCTGCGTTTGACATTAGAGTTAGATCCGCTTTCAAATATTTCTGCCTTGTCGGGAAAATAAGGTAGAAAAAGTAGAAAAGTAGCGATTCTCATTCCTAGTCAATAGGCATGAAGACATTTTAAGAAATATTTCTACATTTCCTGCCAAACATAACATTTAAAGCTATTCTTAAAATGGTATAAATTATTTAAAGATTTTTATCCTCTCAAATTATTAAAAAGCCTAAATAAAACAATTCCACATGAATTAGCTTATTAAACTGTCATAGTATCAAGTATTATTTAATGAACACCAGGCATTTGTAAGTCAAATAAATCACTTGATTGTTGAGTTGTAATGTCATAGCCTCTATGTAACTTGTATATTATACTGTGTATTTTTATTTTCTGTTACCACTTCTGCTCAAAAATTGATATTACTGGATAAATTCCCAAAGAACAGGTTAGGAAAATAATAGACCTCCATATCATTTTTAGAATCATTACTTGCCAATCATTAACCTTAAAATTATTCTTTAATAACCCATTAGATTTTTAAAGCTATAATAAATTTTGTTTTTGATCTACTTCATTCCAAAGATGAGGCCATTGAGCAAATATTTCCCAGGTGAGCAACTTGGAATCATTTAAGCACTGAACTCATCCATCCTATTTTTGCCACTGATGCACGTTTTTCATTCATAAGGCCAATATGATCATGCTTTTTGTCCTCTTGAACCCATTTTGCAGTCCATTAGCATTTTTAAAGGCAGGGGAGAAAACCATTCAAATTTATTTCCATTTTCAGAATTTTTTGATACAAAATAGAGAAGGATGTGTCAATGAGCCCTTAAATATGTGGACCCATTTTTAAGTTATTCTTTTTCAAAAGCCCAAATGTAAAAAATCTGAGTGTGGATTTTATTTTAAAAATTATTTTATATATAATTATATAGCAGAAGATAATAATTGTAAATTACTATAATTTTAGTTATTTTATATTTTTATAAAATAAATTTTACAGTACTATATATAATATTTGCATTATATATAATAAAATATTATTATTTTATTACACTATTATTCCTGGAATTGGAGATTAAGTTTTTGTGGGATGAAACCCTGAAATTTGACCTGAAATTAACCTTAATGAGGTTGTAAAATTTTATTTTTATGTCAGTGCTCAGAAATGAATTTTTCGTAGGAACCTGTAAGAAATGGATATTTGGAGCCCAGTTTAGCAAAGGCTGTTTTCTGTGCAACTGATCTAAATTATTTGAATTAATCTGATGGTTTATTCTTTAGAATAGAGGGAGCATATGACAATTGCAAAAAGTAATTTTTTTCTATCCTTAATACACAATAAAACTATACTGAAATTTGAAATATGTGCCCTTGGTCTGTCTACTCTTTCCCCATAAATACTCTGCTTTGAATACCTGTGGTCCATTTCCCTTACATCCACTTTTATGCCTTTTATACCTGTGTTCCAACCAGTCTTGACCTATTGTTCTACCTTATTGCTTCAAAATTTTCCTGTTCATTTTTCATAAACTTATATTCCCACATTGCAAGAGAGTAAACGTAATTACTTGTTAAAAAGGGAAGTTGTCCAAATAATCCAATTCACATTATTTTATTATTTTGAGACTTTAACGAGGGTGTTTATAAATATATTTAAATGTCCGATTTCAGTAAATATAAATTTTGGCACAATACTAAGCTTTTCCCTTCAAAGTATTTGAAGTTTCTTATTGTGGTTGTTGAAAAATCTGGTAAAATTTTACCATTTTAAGCATTTTAAGGGGTACAGATTAATAGTGCTGATGTACATTCACACTGTTGTAAAACAGATCTCCAGAACTTTTACATATTGCAAAACTGAAACTCTGTGTTCAGTAAACAATAACTTCCAAGTCTTCTCACTTCTCCACTCCTAATAAGTTTCAATCATTATTTTGTATTTTATGATTTGATTATTTTAGATGCTTCCTATAATTTGAAGCAATCAGTATTTTTCTTTTTTTGAGTAGCCTACATCACTGACCATTATTTTCTCAGGATTTAACCAGGTGTAACATGTAACATGCTTTTCCTCTATAATATTGATGCATGATATTCTATTATCTGTTATATATTTCATTTTGTTTATCCCTGCATTCACTAGTGGACATTTAGGTTGCTTTCACTTCTTCAAAATTGTGTAGAGTGCTACTGTAAATATCAGTTCTTTTTTATATCTACCCAGAAATGGGATTGTTGGATTATATGCTAAACCTACTTAAAGTTTTTGAACAACCTTGCTCTTTTCCATAGTGATTGGATCACTCTATACTCCCAGCAAAAGTGCACAAGTACCAATTCCTATTTATCCTTGCTAACACTTTTTATTTTCTATTGCTTCATTAGTAGGCATAAAGGCGTGAGGAAGTAATTCGTTGTGATTTTGATTTTTCAATTCTCTGATAAGTAGGGAGCTTTTAGTGATCATTTTAACATCATTTTATATGCCCGGTGACCATTTATCCATCATCTTTTGAGATGCTCATTTTTAAATCAGGTTGTTGATGTTTAGTTGTTGAGAGTAGGAGTTCTTTATAAATTCTGGATATTGGCCATTTATCAGATATATGATTTGCAATTATCTCTCATGCTATAGGTTGCCTTTTGATTTTGTTGATTGTGTTCTTTGATGCATAAAATGTTTTAAATTTTATGTAGCCCTATTAATGTATTTTAAATTTCATTGCTTATACTTTTGATGTTAAATAAAATAAATCAGTGCCATATCTGACATCATAAAGCTTTCCCTATTTTCTTTGTGAGTTTTGCATCTTATGTTTACATCTTTAATCCATTTTGTAATTGGCGTAAAATTAAGGCCTAACTTCATTCTTTTGCTTGTGGCACCAGAAAATGGTATCCAGTTTTACTGGCGCCATTTGATGAAAAAACTACTTTTCCAAATGAACAGTCTGACAGTTTTGTCAGAGATAATTTGATCAGGTATAAGAGGTTCATTTTTGAGCTTCTGTGTTCGTCTGTAGGTGTGTGTTTATTTCAGTGCTGCACTCTTGTGACTACTGTTCCTTTTGTAGAATATTCTGAAATCATTCAAATCTTCAACTGTGTTTTCTTTTCAAAATTATTCATTACATGGTATTCTTCAGTATTGTACTTGATTCTTGGGGTGATTATATTTTTAATTTCTGGGAAAATGTAATTGGCATTTGGATAGAGGTTTTATTAATCTGTAGGTTTCCTGAATAATATTGATATATTAAAAATGAAATTTTGATCATTAAGTACAGGGACTTTTCATTTATTTGTTTCTCATTTAATTATTTGGTTTTCCTGTTTGTTTATTTGAGACAAACTCTCCATAAATAGTTCAGAAAAGTCTAAAACTCTGAATCCCAGGCTGGCCACAAAGCCGTGATCCTCCTGCCTTAGCATCAACGTGCTAGGATTACAGTCACCATGCCTGGCTCATCTTTAATTTCTTTCAACAACCAGTTTTGTTTCATTGTTCAAGTCTTTCTCATTCTTTGTTAGATTTATTTCAAAGTCATTTTTATTTTTGATGCTTCTGATAATAGAATATTTTTCTTCATTTCATTTTGGTATTTTATTTGTTGGTGTACAGAAATGGAACTGATCTTGTATCCCACATTGCTGGATTTATTCATTAGTTCTAAGGGGGAGAAAGAGAGAGAGAGAGAGAGAGAGAGAGTGAGAGAGAGAGAGAGACGGATTTAATATTTCGACTTTTCTATGTATAGGATCATGGCATCAATAAATGGAGATAATAGACTCCTTTCCTTTCAGTTTGGATTCATGTTATTACTTTCTTCTCCTTCTATACCTCCCACCCTTCCTTTTCTTTCTTTTTCCTAATTGCACTGGCTGCTCAAGTACTCTGTTGAGTAGAAGTGCTGGTAATAGGTATTTTTACGTTGTTCATGATCTTAGAGGAAAAAAACCTTTGCTTTTTATCATTGAATGTGACATTAGTAGTGCGCTTTTTACATAAGGCCTCTGTTCTGTTGAGAAAATTTCTGTCTATTTCTAATTTGTTGGGAGTTTATCATGAAAGAATGTTGAACTTTTTTGTCAAGCAACGTTTTTTGCATCACTAGAGGTGATCATAAAATTTTTGTTCTTCATGCTGAAAATGTATTTTATGTTTTGTAGTTCTTTTTATTTGGAATCTTTTGTGGATTCCAAGTAGGCTATAGAGGTTCCAGTTGTTTTCATGAATGTTGCCCATAGTAGCTTTACCAACTCACTTGTGGGAAGAATAAGCCTGAATCTGTGAACCTTTAATGTCCACAGGTGCTTGGAAAATGGAGCTTGCCCATTTTTTTTTTTTTTTTAATGCCAGGGATTGAATTTGGGACCTTGAGCTTGTGAGGCAGGTGGCAGCACCACTGGGCTAAAGCCCTGGCCCTAAGCTTGCCCAGGTTTAATTAAGAAAAGAGTTGTAAATTTTACAATGTTCCTTGGGCTAAATTGCCCTTTTATTGTAACTGAAGCAAATGAAGAGTGGGGATTAGTTCACTATGCCTCAGGCCCATTGATAGCACCTCGGAAAGGATATTTTGGAGCGGCTTACTTTACTTAACGGCCTGGACATGGAGAAAGAGGATCACTAACTTCTGATAAGAAAGAACAAAGGAATAAGTAATGGATCCTCTTTGAAATGGAGTGGTTACCTCAGTAGATAGGATGAGCCTAATTCAATCATTCTGCTCTCTGAAAATAAGTATATGCAGTCCAAAATGTCATGGGGCTATTTATTTACAATTATTTCATTAAAATTTAGCATTTAATTCCAGAAATGCATTGATTGTTTAAAAATTTTTATTAGTACATGTTTATAGTGCATCGTGATTATATTTATTGTGGGGCCTTGGTACACTGCATAACATACCTTAATTCTGTTTATTTCACCTTCTCCTCCCCTGTTGACCTTCTCCCTTCATCTCTCGATCTGCAGCCCTTTTGAAAAGGATCAATCTAGCTACTTCCTCTTATCTATCTTTTGTTTTGTTCTCTAATTTATGTATACTTTGAGCTTCTCATATAAGAGAAACCATATACGTAACCATCTACATCTTATTTATTCTAATTAACATTATTGTCCCAACATGCATCCATTTTCCTATAAATGACTCAAATTAATCCTTCTTTATGCCAGAATAGTGTACCACTGTGTATAAATACCACATTTTCTTTATCTGTTTATCTGTTGATGGACATATGGGGTGATGGAAAGATTTAGCTATTATGAATTGTACGGCCATAAATGTCGGAATGCACGAATCACTACAACATTATGTCTTTAACTCTTTTGGGAACATATGTAGTAGTGGAATAGCTGAGATAAGTGAAATTTCTATTTTCAGTTTTTGAAGGAAGCACCATATTAATTTTCTTAGTGGTTATACTAGTTTATATTTCTACCAACTATGTAGAAGGGTTCTATTTTCCTCCATGGCTTTGCTAGCATTTGTTTTAATTTGATTTATCAAGGATGGCTGTTTTTCCTGGAGGAAGTGGTATTTCAGGATGTTTTAATTTGAATTTTTATAGTATCCAGACATGTTGAGCATTTCTTCATATTATTTATTGTCCACTTGTGCTTCTTCTGCACAGTGTTTATTCAATTCAGTTGCACATTTTGCATTGGTTTCTTTTGCGGGGAAGGGTGAGGTGATTTTTTTTTTTTAGTTCTTTATATATTTCTAGATACTAGTCCTCTAAATATTTGCTGGACAAAACATTTTTGCCTATTCTGTAGGTTGTCTTTTTACTCTGTTGTGTGGTTCCTTTGTTGTGCTGACAATGTTTAACTTGATAAGATTCTAATTTTTTATGATATGTCTTTTTAATTGGGGTTCTGTTCAAAAAGTCCTTGTGGCTGTCTTCAAAAGTTTTAGCTATTTTATCTTCCAGAAGATTGTTTCTGTTTTAATATTTAGGTCACTGACCCAACTTCATTTTATTTAATTACGTGGTGAGAGGCATGGCTCTCGATCCACTTTTCTTACGTGTGTAGTCAGTGTTCTCAGCGCCATTTGTTACAGAGGCTAACGTTCCTCCAGCCTAGACTTTTGGCTCCTTTGTCAAAAATGCTATTTAAATTGAATTTTTTTTGAAAGCTGGAAAATAAAGAAAGCTTGAAGATAATACATTTATTTTTAGAAGTAGAAAATGGTGCTATTAGTAGTGAGAAACTACAGAAATTGTAACACTTCATTAATTTAAACCTCCCCTCTTATCGTATCTGTTGATTCATGAAGCATCATTGAAGAATGGCTGTTTTCACTGCTACCTTATAATTCAACTTACTTTTTCAGTTACATTGTTGTTCCTGAAGTGGCATCTTATAAATAAGTGCCCATGATCACTTTTAATGATCATTTCCCATAAATCATTTGTCTCTCTATCTTTCCTCTCATCTCAGGCAGTACACACACGGTGTTTTGTATATTTTATAGATCGTGTTGTAGAGTCAGAGTCCCTAGGTCTGAGCTATTCAGGCCATATCTAAAGGTCGTCATCTTTTCTTTCTTACATAACAGCTGAAAACTTAGTCATAAATTTCTCAGACATCATGTTACTCACGCATCATGTTACTCTTCTGTTTACCATTTTTTCTACAGATTAGCTATTATACCTGGATAAGAATCAAATTCTCTGGCTGGTGTTCACCCTCTTTCAGGGGCACTTCATTTGTGAACTGTTATCTTTGTTATTCTTCCTGGGAACTCTCTACTCACAGTTACACATATTCGTCTGAACTTCACTTCTTTCAGTTTTGACTACAATGTGAAACTCTAAGTGTATTTTGTTTCTATTAGTCTATGTAAAAGCTACATAACAGTCTACAATCAATATCCATTTTCTCATCTCTACTTTTTTCCCCATAGTACCTTGACTACCTGGGTTGTCCCTTTTCTTTCATTACACTGTTAAAATTGTAAAGGGAAGAATTTCTGTTTCTTTTATTTACTCCTATAAATTCAGACCAAGAAAAATGTTTAATAATTATTTGGTAATGGAAGGAATAAGTAGAGCTAATAGTTTTATTATTTTACCCTGTATTTTAAAAGTAATATATTCATTTATAAATTTGGAATGGAAAGTCTCATTGAGCATCTGAATTTAAAAGATAATCTATAATTGAAATGTTTAAAGTAATTTTGTACAAATTCCACATTTTTATTTTTTATTATTTGGGAAGTCCACACCCATACCCTTTATATTTTTTAAATTCCTTGGAATAGTGTCTCAGTCCCTTTAACTCTTAAACTTAGTGCTCTCCTTAGAGTTATAAATGTTTTATATGTTTGCAGAATTAGATTGCATATTTAGTACACTGTAGTCAGAATTGTAAATTATGCATATTAGAAAAAATAGAAAGTCTTCTGCCTCACACCCATACCCTTTATATTTTTTAAATTCCTTGGAATAGTGTCTCAGTCCCTTTAACTCTTAAACTTAGTGCTCTCCTTAGAGTTATAAATGTTTTATATGTTTGCAGAATTAGATTGCATATTTAGTACACTGTAGTCAGAATTGTAAATTATGCATATGAGAAAAAATAGAAAGTCTTCTGCCACAATTTGTAATCTAATGTAACTCAATGTCTCTAGTTTAGCTTTATTAAGACATTGGCTAGATATTCTTGCTTATTGATTTAGCTATGGAAAATTGAAAAAAATATGTATTTATAAATGTATGTATTTTTGTTTTATATTGTCATGTGTAAATTTGACACTTTTTTCCTTGTTCTTTTATTATGTACTGTAATAACACTTGGATTTCTAAGAATATTACACTAAATGACTGTTTTTGTTTTGTTTTGTTTTGGTACCAGGGATCGAACTTGGGTCCTTGCTCTTGCAAGGCAGGTGGTGGAACCACTGAGCTAAATCCCAGGCCCTAAATGACTGTTTTAACCTCCCAAAATTTAACTTTTTGTTTGCTGCTTACATTTTTTTTAATTTATGGGGAAGAATTGTTTTGTGAACTGGTAACCAAAGGGGTTCTTACATCTTCATGGGAGACTAACATAAAGCCCATTGTGAACTTTGTGGGGTACTGTAATTATTTCATATTTTTGTAAGTATATTGTATACATTTCTAAGAAAAAAACAAATGTCATCACTGAGATGCGCATTTAACAGTTTTATTTTTACTTCGATGAAAGTGATTTGAAAACCTCTATCATTGTGTAATGCTTAAACTGGTATAGTTCTCTTTCGACTGATTTAAATTTGCAAAGTAATAACCTTAAGTTTGTTAAGACTGTGTCAGTTTCTATTTGGTGACTTAGGCGCGGTCTGTGTCTGTTTCTTTTTAGGGGGATGTTTCTGGACACTATTCTCCCCTCCCGTGATGACAGTGGCATTCGGCCAGCGATTGGCCAGAGGACCCGGTTAAGCAAAGGAGACATTGCACAGGCAAGAAAGCTGTATAGATGTCCAGGTATTGCACCATACAATGTGGAAGCATAGTCATGCCTGACTGTGCTCTTCCAGATGCACAAGCCATGAATTACTCAAATGTTTACTTGTCTTTCTCTGTGCTGTCAAATGATGTGTATAGTTCAAACTCAGTAATCATAAAGTAAGGCACAAAAGAATATGGAGATACCCATTGCTATAAATCAAAACAAATTTCCAGATATCAAAGTTTAAGCACAAGAATTGCTTTTCATTTAATCATTAATTTAATTTCTTTTCATTTAATAAGTAAAAGAGCCAAATAGAATGATGGTTTGATCATTAGCAAGTAGTTACATGACTTGACACTCAAATGCTCTTTCCTTGTCAACATAAAAAGTATAACTTTTCAGAATCACATCTGGAGTGCTCTTTCCTTGCAAGAACCATCATTAATGGTATATAAGCTAAAATTTTATCAAGCTGGGCCTGGTACTAATTGCAGGGGTGTAATCCAAAGATACTGGGAGGCTGAGGCAGGAGGACTGCAAGTTTGAGCTTGACCTGCACAAATTAGCATGATCACCTCCCAAAATAAAAAATAATAATGGAGTAGAGACACAGCTCAGTGCAAAGGCCCCGGGGTAAATGCCTATCATTGCCCAACATTTTTTTATTTATTATTTTATTTTATTTTTTATTTTTTGTTTTTTTGAGACAGGGTCTTACTATGTCTTTGAGACTGACCTGGAATTCACTATGTAGCTCAGGCTGATCTCGAACTCACAGCGATCCTTCTGCCTCAGCCTCCCAAGTGCTGGGATTACAGGCGTGCGCCACTACGCCAGGCCTAAAATATTTTTAATAAGTTAAAGTTTATAAATTTGTTGCAAAAAAAAGTGCTAACCACTTGGTAATGACCTAGTATATATTTTGCTGCTTGATAAAAAGTTGGTCTTAATCACAATGTGCTCATGGAACACCAGTCTGGTGATGCCCCCAAAAGCAAAAAGATTCTGTTCCAAACTGGAAATATTTCAGATTCCATTTACCTGCTGTATACTCAGCAAAGAAACATTGTTTAATTTTACTCAACATAGCTTTCCTGAAATTATTTGTCCAAATAATCTTTCTTTTTTCTGATACCAATTTGTGGAATGGGCTTCTGGAATTATTGTTCTGGCTACTACACTCGCAGATGATAACATAACCAGAAAAGTGTCAAGTGGCTGCTAGACGATTACTTTTTTGCAAAAACTCAGAGATATGGTGGGTATATTTATCACTGAATGTTTATCACAATAGTTATTTAAAATTTATCTTTGAATTTGCTGTGGAGTTGGTCTATTAAGGTTACTCTGAGCGTAGTGTCAGTCCAAGAAACTTTCCCTTTAGGCCATAGAAGAACACAAGTCACTTCCCTCCCCAAAATGTAAAATGTACTTACTGGCATATGGTTTAGATCCCTTTTGTTGAACAGATAAACTTCAAACCATGGATAAGTTATTTGGTTGAAGAATCACAGGAAATAGTTGCAAAGGTCATAATTCAGTGTGGATATGGGCATTCATTTATTGATTTTACTCAATAGATTTTGCTAAAATTTCTTCTAAGAGAAGTGATTTCTTCTCCATTAAAATCACATGTGCTAAGGAAACCTGTAAGTTATTTTCAATTTTATCTTAAAAGGTAATCTATAATTTAGGACCATTGAGTTTCAGGAATGAATTTTCAGATAGATTGAAATTTAAAGTTGTAGTTAAAAATTTTTGCGACTTTATGTTTCATATTTAAATTGTTCTATGCTGTTCATAAATCTATCTGTATCCACTTGTCTATGAATTCCAATTTTTCATATATATAAAGATACTTCTATTTAACATTCATTAATTTACTTCAGAAGTTGGATTCATATTTTAATAAATGCCTTTAAATTAAAATGTTTTATTTATGTATGTAAAATACATATGTTTAGGGGGTATTATTTTATTTTTTATTGCAAATTCCTTCAGGAAAGATGAGTTTATAAGAGATACGGATTGTGATGAGCCTTCACAAATGTTCAATAACATCGGGCATGTTTTTTAACTTAAAAAAGGGAAGATTATACGATTAATAGAAACAAAATAAATGGACTATTTAGATGTAAAACTATACTATTTCCTTAACTGTACTTGGTGTGATCAAAATACGCAGTGAACTCAGCCATAAAGAATGAGAAATTAGATTCATTCATAGGGAAATGGATACATATTGAGGATATACTCCTAAGTGAAATAAATAAGTCACCTGTGTAAATACCGAATAAATTCTCTGGTGTGAAAAACTATAATAGTACACAAGATCCTAATGAGATAATTAACAGTGTGAAATAGGAAGAAAAGGACTAAAGGTGTAGGGAAAGTGGAAAGGGTAGGGGAAGGGGAATAAGGGAAAAGAGAAAAATATAAGAAAATGAAAAAATGGAAATAAAGTGTTTGTAAATGGGGAGGGGAAGAGGGGGTGAAGGGAGGGCAGGGAAAAGGGGAAAAATGAGAACCAAGACCTGTCATGTAAATTTACAAGATCTCAATAATGAATGTAACTGTACTGTATATCTAGAATGTACCAATAAACTCAATAAAAAGAAAAAAAAAACCCAAAATATGCAGTGAATATTTAAATTTGTAGAAATTAGTACAAAAGGACACATTGCCATTAGGTCCAGTCCGATACTCGTCCTCACTTCAAACACACTTGTGTCATCATTCTCCTCACTTTGGAAGCAGTTCTGGAAGTTCTCTTTCATGAGCGCGTTACAAGGTGTGGTCACAACTGCGGTGGATGCCGCTGCCCAGTGTCCCCCCGTGGAATGGCAGTCTCAGTCTCGTAAGAACAACCCAGTAGGTCCTCACCCACTCTGTGCAGTGGACTTGGCACAGCGTGAGTTCTGACCTTCCCAAAGCCAAGATGACCACGGAAAGCAAGCATTTTGAATCTATTTAGGATCCTGAGGCAGCCCCGACAGCACAACTGAAAACACTCATGGAAGAGCACTTCCACGACTGAGGGTATTGATGGCATTGTGTCTTTTACTGTAGCAAATATTTGTAAGAAAAAATTAGATGTTCACTTTAGTTTTTGATCACATTTTGTATGTGTGTATGTAAAAAAAGCACACTGAGATGCATTTCAATATTGGATTGTAGGAAAGTCAGTAAGAATGAAAAGTATTCATATAATGACAACATAGTTAAATCTTAAGCTATGGTTCTTCATATTTCAGTTATTAACAGGAAGATAATTAGTAGGTTCCACTTGAGATATCATGTAAATGCACATAAATGGGCATAATTAATATATATATATATGTTTTGTTTAGTACAGTAAAACTACTTTCATGAAAGCACTATAATCCTGTATTTTTAAAGTACTATAAAAGGCACATTGCTGCATTATAGCTTATGAATTACATGGACCAAGGGAAAAGTAAAAGATAAGTCACACCATGTGTGCCTTTAGAGTTTGCCTTGTTTTTGCTCTTAGAAATTACTGGTGAGTAGAGTCAATAAAATATATTTAATTACACCTTATGCCAACCTTTTTCTCATCAGTTTATAATCAAAACTCTACTTGCTCTGCATTTTAAACAGCTATTTCTAAGTTTCATCTTGAAAGGAGCCCTGGTCTGGCAGTGTATATAGTTAGAGACAAGGTTAATGCTTTTATAATCATTAATACAAGTTTATGATCTTTGATATAAGCCCCTAGTTTAAAAAGCAAAGTTTCTAATAGACTGTGAATATTGTTGCTTCTTCTTGAACAATATAAAAAATAGTTTTATGGTTTAAAAATCATTGATAAGAAGGTGAACCATATTAAAATGTGTATATATTAAATTTTAAAGTAACATTAAGTGTTATTGTATGAGACTTTATAGCTAATAAGTACCTTGTAATACAGTTTTATATTTATCTATTTATGAATGCTCAAATATAAGTTGAATTGACACATGCAACTTTACGTACTGTAGAGCCATTGCCTATTCATTGTGAGAACTCAACACAAGTGTACAGTTTGATTTTTTAAGGTGATGATAGCAGGATATGTTGTTTCTTATTGTCTAGAATTGTTTTCATTATAATTTCTTGCTCTTAATTTTAGAGAAAGGTCAAAAAAAGTCTTCTTATGAATCATTGTATAAGGAAAGAAGATGAAAAATGATCCTTCACAGCCTGACACTGCTGAGATAAGGCACTCCAAAACTGTCACATCATGAGCCTCAGAAAGGGCATGGGGAGGGAAGGCAGAGTTGCTCAACCTTAGAATTGGATAGATTTCCAAACTTTACTCCCCAAAAGACAATCCTGTATCCTTGTTTGTTTGTTTGGGTTTTTTGAGACAGGGTCTCACCATGTAGTTAAAACTGACCTGGAACTCACTATGTAGCCCAGGCTGGTCTCTAACTCACAGCAATCCTCCTGCCTCAGCCTCCTGAGTGCTGGGATTACAGGTGTGTGGCACCACGCCTGGAGATCATGTATCCTTGTGATGGCCTCTGAGCCTTTCCAGTATGAGAACAGGAAGCATCTACAAAGTGGTGAAGAACAGGTCGCCATGGCAACTCTTCCTCATCCTTTATCTCAGGAATTAGCAGTTTGCTTGTGAAACTGATCCCTTCTAGGGCATATGAATTATAACATCTCTGCTCTTCTCTCTTCTTCAATGTTAATTTGTTCTTTGACCTTTATTGTGGCTTCCTTTTTAGAGGCCCCCTTTTTCTGGTGATTTTTATTTTCTAGACGTGTTTTCCTCTGTTGTAATTGTAAGGCTACTCTAGTTTTCTTTTCTATTACTAAAATACTTAATGTAACTCTTCTTGTGTAGTCATTAGTCTTTACTTGCATTTTGTCCTCATTCGGTTTTTCTGCAATCCCATGATCTTTTGGCTTAGAACTACATTTTAACTTAGACCAAGTACTAACATTAATATTTTTCCACATTTTTAGTTTTCTCAATCTTCCTTAGTTAAGTCTGTAATACATCAGCTTTCTGTTGTTACATTCTGTAACAAATACCTGAGATAAACAAATTATAAAGAAGAAAGATATTATTTAGGCCCACAGTTTTGAGCATTCAGGTCTACTCCAGATGGATGTACTTACTTTAGGGCCAGTGGCAGAGAAATGAATCACGGCCAAAGTAGAGCACAGGAGAGCTGCTTAGCTAATGGCTGGCCAGGGACGGAGAGGGTGAGGAAGGGGCTGTGCTCGCAGGTCCCTTCAAGGTGTGTTCTCTGTGACCTGCTCAGTGCTTTGAAGCCCCACCTCTCAAGGTTTCTACCACTTCCCAATGCCGGGAACCAGCCTTTACCACACGAGCTTTGGGTGACATCTGAAATCCAAACTGTACAATTAATTGCCTAGGATAAAGAAATAAGAAAAATATAAGATAAATTGATATCTAAAAATAAAAGAGCGCTGGGGATTTAGCTCAGTGGTTCCGGCGCCTTCCCAAGGGCAAAGGCCCGAGTTCGATCCCCAGTACCAAAACAAACAAACACAAATAAATAAAAAATAAAAATAAAAGAGCTTTTTAAGATAAGAATCTCTCCTGTTATATAAGTGAATTCAAATATGTTTCAGGTACAGCTACACAGTTACTACCAAAATGTATTTTAAATCTTCTAGCAATTTATCTTACCATAATTACTCAGCTGATTGCATTTCTTTTAGTTTCCTTTATTTTGAAAATCATTTTAAAACAATCTTTTAAATGCTTAATACTTTAAGAGTCATGAATTTATGAACAATTTAAATAAATTAGAAATTATCAAGCTGATTAAAAGTATTTTTATTTCTTTCCTTAAACTAGAGTTTATTTATTTGGATATTAATTTAATACTACAAACTATTGTATAGCAACCACAATTTATATGATCCTTAGTAAAATTATATTGTTTTTTATATTGGGAATTGAACCCAGCACCTTTGCACTGAGCTACATCCCCAGCCCTCTTACAGTTTATTTGTATTTGCTTATTTAGTGAATTAGTCTTTGGTACCTGGGATCAAACTCGGGACCTTACTTGTGAGGCAGGAGGTCGCACCACTGAGCAATCCGCAGCCCTTCAATTGATTTTTATTTTGTGTCAAATTCTTACTGAATTTCCCAGGCTGGTTTCAAACTTTCCATCCTTCCAACCTGAGCATCTCAGAGTGTTGGGATTACAGACCAGTGACACATATTTGATGCCCACTAATCAACCTTATGAAAGGGAACAGCATAATTGATAAATGGTAACTTGAGCACTTACATTTGTTCGTCTTGTTGCTGAAAGACAGACTGAATTTAACAGAACCACCCTGTATTTTTAAATTCTCTTTTAGCTCTTTGAATAATAAAGTTTTTAAATATCTGAACTTAAGCCATCAAACACCCGGCGACAGTGCTGAAGCATCTTGCACAATTGGGGCATTGTAGCCTGAGACAATCATATTTATTGAGGAAGATTCACAAGTGATTACTTAAACTTCAGGTGTCTGTTCTTCTTGTATTATAAGTAGGCACTATTTTATGAAGTTTGAAATTTTATGTTGTCTTTTGTTTTATGTTTTAAAAGAGTTTTTTTTTAAATCAGAGTAGTAGCATTTGTATTTGTGGATTAGTTAATTGTTCAGTTCTGTTTTAACAAAGTCAGTGTGGTTCAGAGGGGCTTTAAATCATAGTAGAAGTTATTCTTAAACTGCTGTGAATTGTGATTTTTTCAATGAAACACACTCAACTAGCAAATCATTATTTAGTATATTACCTAAGGCTACTTTAAACATATTGCTCATATTAAGAAAAATCTTAATGTATTTTCATTTTTCTAAGGCTTCTTGTAATGTTAAATTATGCAGTTTTGACCTTGAGGATTTTCATTTGGATCTAAGTTGCCTTTCCCCTCCTGGTACATCGGAATAAACTTCACTTACTCCTACTTTAAATTTATTTTGCAGTGCAAACCATATTATCTGTTTTCCTGAGTAAATATTTATATTGTGTCAGACTGATTTTGTAGCTTGGTCTTATGAGTTCAGAGTCATTGTCTTCCTTTCTTTATTTAACACAAAATATGTAGACCTATTCATAATTTATTGAGGATTGATGAGATGAGAGTTCACCTGCTGGTAGCTGTGGCTCTGGAAAATGGCTATGTTTCCATTTTGATCACGGTCTCCTTCAGAGGGAAGGAACTGTTCTCTCAGCGTGTGGAGTGAAGCTTATTAAGATGACTCGCTGCACCGAAAGAGTCACTCTGAATTAGCACATTTGAAGCAGTCTAGGTTGGCTCCCTCCATGCTATCTCTTGCAGAAGCAACGGGAAAACCCAAAATAGAATGGTGTTGCCACTGGCCTTGGCCAAATGCAGACCTTAAAGCTGTGCAGTTGATAATTTGGTATTTCAGATACCCGATAACTGTTTCCAAGGAATAAAACATGCTCAGTACAAACAAAAGTATGAATTGTTTTTCTTACAATTTCTATGTATGATCAACATAAAAGAGACAGTAAATACTTAGATTCTTTTGATATATTTGAATGTTCCATGCTTTTGTCATTCAGTATTTTTCTCATTTTGAAAACAATTAATCATGTGTTGTATTTCAGTGACACCTTTATCGGGTACTTACTAATTGTCATTTAATATTTGTCCATCTTGAAATGGTCCTGAGTGTTAAATGTTCCCTCGATTTACAAGGAATCTTTTTTTCAGTGCCAGGAATTGAACTCAGAATCCTATACTTGTAAAGCAGACACGGTGCCACTGAGCTAAACCCCAGGCCTGGTCCCAGAGCTACATCACAGAGATATTCACTGACCTGAGCCTCCATATAGGTGCCCTTTAAATTGACTACCAGCAATAAATAAGCAAGTTGTTTATGGATATAGAATTATTTATCTCATAGTTTTGTGATTAGCTCTAGTGATTCCATCAAGTGCCCTGAAGTTCTGGTAAGGGAGACATAAAAAAATTACTTAGGTCTTTTATAAAATACAAGTATATACATTTTTTCTATCACATTGCTAATGATATCCATGGTCTTCACGTAAAAGTAAAGGATCATCTTCTGTTGTTTTCCTTTCAGCTTGTGGAGAAACTCTACAAGAATCCAATGGCAACTTTTCCTCTCCGGGATTCCCAAATGGCTACCCTTCTTATACACACTGCATCTGGAGGGTCTCTGTGACCCCAGGGGAGAAGGTACTTTAAACCCTCACTAGTTCTGTTTTAGTCTCTTACGGGCAAAAAGGCTGATTATTGTCACATATAATTTTCTTTATCATTTATTCTTAGTTCATTCTTCAGACATTCAGAAAATTAATCGTGGAAATTGCTCAAGCTAGGAAATTTTGAATGATATAATTTTAAAATGTAAATGCCCTAGAAGGGCTGAAATAATACAAATTGTATTCTCAGACATAGTGAAATTATGTTAGAAGTCATTATCAGGAAGATAACTTTAAAAAGCCACACATTAAAAAATTTTTAAATATAAAGCTGAATGTTTAATGTAGCCAAGAAGAAATTATATTAAAAATTAGAAATCCTTTTCGATTATAACTACAAAAATACTGAATACCAAAACTGTGAAATGTATCTAAAGTAATACTTCAGAGGGAATTTCTACATGTAAATGCTTAGATTAGGAAATGGGAAGGCTAAAAATGAATGAGCTAGCTGTCTGTGTTAGTTACCTTTCTCTCTCATTGCTGAGACAAAATACCCATGCCCCAAGTTGGGAGGAAGGGGGTGCATTTGGCTCACAGTTTGTAGAGATTTCAACCCATAATCAGCTGACTCCAAGGCAGGAATGGCAAACAGGCCTGGCAGAGGAGAAAGAACGTTCACACAAGTCAGCAAAGGTATCAAGAGAGGGAAGTTAACAGTCTCTTGCCCTTTTATCTAATTCAGACTACTTAGGGTGGGCAACACGCACAGTCTTATCCTAGTTCCTAGCATGCATCACGCAATGCCTAGCATTGCATCATGAATTAATTCCAGCTTCACACTCTCTGTATCAAGCTTGTGACCACAGGAGGCTTTGGGGAGATATCTAGACCCAAACCGTAACACTAAAGAGGTTAGAAAAAGAGAAGAAAGTTAAGAGAACTTGTTTAAAGAGGAAAACAGTAAAAGCTGAAACTGGCAGCAAGTATGAAAAAAATTACTATTTTGAACTGATTAAAAAAATAAGAATAGAAAAAAAGATCAAGAAAAATAAAAATAATAAAGTAAAATTATTTAATCTTTGAAAGAAGAGATTATTATAATTATAGATGATTTCTACACTAAAATAAGAATAAAAGAATATTATTGAATTGTAATATAAAAGCAAATTCCTACAAAATAGTTTCAAGTTCTTATTCAAAACAAATTTTTAGAGGCTGGGCGTGGTGGCACATACCTGTAATCCCAGCACTCAGGAGGCTGAGGCAGGAGGATCGCTGTGAGTTCAAGAGCAGCCTGGGCTACATAATGAGTTCCAGGTTAGTCTCAGCTACATAGTGAAACCCTGTCTCAAAAAAAAAAAAAAATTGAATACTTCTATGAACACCAAAGCAACTGAATTATTAGATAATTGGATAGTTTATTTTTTTGAATGAGGAAAGTTCAGATTCAAATGGCTTTATTGCTATCTACTCAACATTGAAGGAAAAAATGAATAATAGTCTTCTGCATAAACCTCTTACAAAGAAGAAATAAAGAAGATATATTCTCTTTTTTACATGGCTACTTCTTTGTTTTTCTATTCATTTTCACTGAGCTCATTGGTACATTTTAAGTATACAGTAGAGTTACATTCATCATTAGGATCTTGTACCTTTACATGACAGATCTTGATTCTCATTTTTCTTTTGATAAAGGAAGTATAAGAAAAGGAAACCTAACCTAGACTCACATATCAATAAAGATGCACAAATTCTACACAAATAACCAAATCAAAATGGATATATATGCTTGTGTGTGTATGTATGTATGTATA